GACCTTCAAATTACCTGATGAAGGTTAGCCGACCAAACTATAGTAATTATATGAAGGGAATTAGAGTGACCAACAGTGTGCAGGCTGTTGGGTTCCTTTCAAAATTAATAACAAAAGAAATTCATGCAGGGCAGCTAAGCTAAACGGGGAGGTCTGGTGAAGGACAGTGATTAGGAACGATGTGAGATAGGCTACAGAGGGAAGGAAGCGTATGACAGGAAGGAAGGAATCGTTTAGACACAGGGACCTACAAAAAGAGACGCTGAAAGTGAGACAAAAGGGTTAGACGGCAGAATGCATGGGTGGAGACGAGCTTTGTCTGGTGAGATTCTTTATCTGATTGTGTTAATCTTGTCCTCCGTTTGCAGTGTAGCCACGCGCCAGCACTTTTAACTAGCTCAGATAATGGGAGGAACAGCATCAAACTCATTAATTGAATTAGCTCTCTCTTTATCTCCACATCTTCTGTGTCCACTCGCCCCTAAAAACACTCGTCCGACAACTATTCCTCAGCTAATTGACTCAGAGCATCTGCAGCAAAAGCCCCTGTTTCACCTTCCTAATTTATTGAACCAGCTCCCAGCTGGGTTCACCTGTCATTGGCTACCGTCTAATTTAATTTTACCCAGAGGTGACTGGGATTGTTTTTTGTTTAAGAGGCAGAGCAATGGAGAGCATGAGGAAGGAACATGGCGCAGGCCCAAACAGCTTGTGCATTTATTTCATAACTCGATTTAGCTGCAGGTTTGAGAATTAAGGGACAAGGGACGACTAAAGTAGCTCATTGTGATTTGCCCAATTTCATCAGCGGCGTTGTTAAATTGAATTCAGTTAAACTACCTTTTTGAAATTAATTTGAAAAACGTGCAAAGCTGTGTGTTATCTATGTAACAGCCAGATTTGTGATCTTTCTTTTAGTGGTTGGATTCTTTTCATCTGGGTCAGTTAATGATGAAGCCAATTGTTGGTTATATATTAACGTCCTGTGGCTGCATTGCAGCTTTTCTCCATGTGGCCCTCCCTTTGCAGGGGCCACTCTGTAATGGAGGAACAAAAGATGGTTCCTTTGTGGCGCCGCTGATATAAGAGCAATTGTTCATTTATCTCCACTAAAAGTTAGTCTCTTCCACTAGCTTCACTCTCTCACAATGAGTTAACATTATATCAGATCTCGACACTGACAGACGTGTGTGTGTGTGTGTGAGAGAGATCGACTTCTTTCATTTCTCCGTCTCCATCATTGCTGGAGTCGTGATTTCTTATCACGTGGACAACAATACAGGGAACCATTTTCCTCCTGTTTCTCATCATTATTTCAACTTAAAGCTCAATGCAGGGGAGCACCTTGCAAATGGCCTCCTGAGGATGACACTGACGCATACTCCTCTCTTGTTGTCAAGATATAAGACCAGAATAGACAACAATAACCTTAGGTGACTACAAGCTGTTATTTTACCCCCTTAGCCAATAAACCACTCTCTCTTCTCTTCTGACTGTTTCCCTCCATCCTCTGTCGTTTTTCATCCACCCCTAATACAATGCCTGTCTTTTCTAATCTGCTCGCCCTGTCTCTGGTATAAACCACCACCTCTTTCTGCTATAGCACCTTTAAACACAGAGCTATTCTTCCAAACCAGTGCAGAGACCTTTCACATGATATTCTTCAAACCTCCATACAAACACGAAGCTCTCGCGTTTGTCCGTCCTCGTCTTTAATCTCAAGTCTCGAGTCTTGCGGCTTATTGTCATGGGAACCAAGAGGTGTCAAAAGATATGATTTTGAATGACAGCATGTAAAAGACTCCTGTAATTTTGTCCCTTCCGTGCTGTCCAGTCACTTTCACTGAAATTCGGTGTCTTAGAGAAAGTTAAGATGCCTCCTCTTCACCTTCTTTGTCTAAGACTAGTGTTTTTAATATGTTTTCACACATGATACTAATCTGTCCTGCCCCAAAAGATGCGTGTGTTAGCAGTGTCGTAAACTGTGACTATGCAGAACATATTTCTCTGATTTGAGCCATTGTTGTTACAAAAAACTGCTACCTAACTTCTATGAATTTCTGTCCCTCTGTTTGGGCCATTGAGTCACATCTGAAATTTAAGCTTCATGACAGTAAAATATAAGTGATTTTCATACTGACCATTGTTTTTTTATACTTCTTTAATTGTTATCGTAATACACTGACAATTTAAGGTCTAGTACCTGAGGTGTTACCTTGTCTCATGCAGCCTTTAAGTTACTCAGAAGTGTTTGTGTTCCATGTAATGTTCTGCTGTGTAAAGGACATTAATATTAATGCGCTCTGCTGGCCTATTTCATTCGGCATGCTAGAGGCTGCCAGAGGGCAAGGTGTGTTGACATGTTGTTGAGGCAGTGGCCATTCCTGGGGTGTCATTTCTGAGCATCAATCAGGGAGAGCCTGATCTCATCTGTAAATACTCATCCCACTGATGCAGGGTTTCGTGGAATTAATGGGGCGCCTMCATGTGCTGATGCATGTGAAAGGTGGTGGGTGGGGTGATGTGGGGGGGTGAGGGGGTCTCGCTTCAAATTGCTTTCCTTTATTGCCTCCCCCTCCTCTCCCTCTCCCCAAATCATATTAGCCAAACCAATCTCATTTGCAAAATGCCATTTGTTAATTTGGCCCCCTTGCTTGTCGGTTATAGCACGTGCTTGGGTCTGTATGTCAAGTTGTGAATGAATATGAGAGAAATAGAGTTTGATGCAGGAGAGAGACGGAAAGAAAAGAAAGAAATTAGTAATTACAAGTCATTTGGATTTCACAGTATTCAGACTGTGGGTTGCATTCTGACATTGTGGTTCAGCTGCGCTTGATATTGATCCTGACATCAAGTTCAGAGATTTATTGATTGATCGATGAATCCTCTACTCTATAAAATGCCAAACATAACATCGTAAAACCACAGAGGAGTTTCTAACATTGCTCTCTTTCTTTTGTCCAAAAGCCAACAAACAGAAAATCCTCTTTCTTATTCACATTTGTGGCCCTCAGTAGTAGCATCCCTCTGCCAAGACCCAATAGTCCCCTTACATTTAATCAATCTGCACCAATTTGCACACACTCATAGATACCAGTCCCTTCAATATGGCTATTTTCTCATCAAGATCAATGTCCATGAATAATTTCCTGGAAATCGGTGAAAATTCCCCCAAAAATCTTGCAATGATCCAGATCTGCACTCAATTTGAATGTGTCCCCCCCCCAAACAATTCCATAGGAATCTGCGTTGTTGTTTTTGAGTAATTTTGCTTCCAATCAAATGAACAGGGTTGAAAAAAATAACGTCCCTGGAGCCAGCAGAGATAATGACTGAAACAATCAATCGGTCGTCAAACTGAGCACTAATGCAATCACCAAAACTTTTCACCACTAGTTTGCAAAAAGAAGCAGAACATGAGGGAAACGTTGCTGCTCTCAAAGCACCTCTACCTTCTTATTCCTCAAATAGAATTTGTGTTTGATCAATACGGCACAAAGTTTACCATAAGAGTCATTAGTTGATTATTACTGCGGTCCACTGTCGCAGTGAATCTGCTTTGCGAGCCTGTAGTAATTACTGAGCTGTGGCCGAGGTGACGAGTGGGAAACAAGAGGGCAGACGGCAATCAGTCGTCTCCTCCTATGTTGTCCACAGCGTCCACACCAGCAGCCTTTATCTGGGCTCGTAGGGAGCAGCGGCCGATGCGAGGCCAGTTATTCCTGCCCCTGCAGCCTGGAGAAGATCAAAGCGGACCGGTTGAACATGGAAGATGAAATGACTGTGCTCTTCTAAGGACTGCTGCATGGTTTATCATGTCATTATCGCCCCTGTTAATGCTCAGATATATTGTTTCTTTTTCCTCATCTTTTACAAGTCTTTCACAGAATGAGGACAGTCTCCAATTATTTTGATGTGGGGAGAAATTACCCATCGTTCATGTTCTGCTGAATAGAAATGTTCCTTTCTCCTCACCTTCTTGTGCTGATGGTGTTTTACTGTAGATCTGCATTTTATTTCACAAGATGTTCTGCCCCATTTGTTCCAGTGGATTGAATAAGAACAATTTGTCATATTGGGAAAGGAAGTACAGAGAACAGCTCATGTACTTCATGGTAACCTTCATCTGAGAGGAGGAGGAGAAGGAGGGTGACAGCATCAGTTTACTAGCGGGAGGAGAGGTCACTGTTGTTGGGCACCTGTGTGGCCTCCCACAGACTGTGACCAGGAGTAGTGGGAGTGACAGAGGGACAGAAGTGGGTTGGGGCAGAGGTGAGATGAGGGCGGATTAGAGTCCAGCTGTGAGGGAACATGACCGAAAACTCTCTGGGATGAAGTTTGCCCCCTTTTATTGTTTTTAATGATGAGATGTTACAGTGAAAGACTACTCCATTCAATAAGTACACTCAAAAAAGGTTAATTTGAACTCCCAACACGTGACCCGCAATTATTTCAGTTCAGCCAACACGCCATCTGTTGTCCTGATGTTAGGCTTCAGGACTGCAAATGAAATAATTTGGCTTGTACCTAAGATTCACTTCCTGCAGTAAAATTCCTCCCAAGAAAAATCTGCTGATAAGCTCCAAAACATTTTAATCTCTTTCGCTCATATTACTTGATATTATACCTGAACTATTCCAAATGAATAAGAAAAATATATTTTTTAAAAAGTGTTATTTTCTAAAGACTCAGCAACTGCAAACTTCTTTCTTTGCTTCATTTTAGAGGTTTTATAATAATGGAGCATGTTATTTAGTCTGTTCCTGTGGTCCAATTATTTTTTGTCCAGTCTCTAGTTGATTGTCTGTATGGGAGTGTTTGTTTTTGTGACCCCCGTGCGACACAATTTAAACGCTGCATCATTTGATTTCTTTCTTTTGACGGGTTATTGTTTCCCAAAATAAATCAGATGCCCTGTGTCTTTTCTGCTCTGGTGACAGTTCAAATACAGTTCTTACTTTAAGGGCTTTTCTTCCAACTTCTGCACTTGTGTGTTTTAGGGTCAGGCTGAAAGATGGCGTGGCGTTCCTTGGAGCCAGAGCCAGTAACCCGGTTGCGTGGACGGTGAGCCAGGACGTCAGAAGTGAAGGTCACAGAGTTGTCACCCTCCACTGCCGGAGGAAGGAGAACAGCTTCGGTCAAAGGTACAGTTGTCATGTTGCCTCCGTCTATGGGACGAATCGATGAAATGAATGAAGGAAATGTGAACTGAACACCCTGCTGAATGACCAGCGAGCGAGTGCAAACACTGAGGATGAAAAAAGACATGACTCAGCATCTGACCCATTCATTCCTTGGCACTGCCTTGCATGCAGGTGTCTGGTCAGTCCCAAGTGCAGTCAATAAAATGTATTGTTCAGAACACGGTGTCACTATAGATTTCCGCTGTTGTCCTAAAATACATCACGGAGTCACACCGCTGCACTGGGTGACCTTTCTTTATTGCACAGAACATGAGCACACAGAGCAACACATACTCCTTCCTGCTGCAGGAAAAAGTCAGTGTGAAATACTCCGAGGATACTGCAGTATTCACACCTGTTTGAAGACGCCTTCACACCTACTTTGTTTGATCTGGACCTTCTGACTTTTCAGTTTAGTCCCGACCAAAGTAACAGGTGTGAGGTGGACTAACATTTAGTCTGGACAAAAGATGTGGTCTGCATCAAATTAACCATGGTTCGGTTTGTGTGCAGTGTGCAAAGCCTTTTTGGACAGTTTGGATAGTTCAGACCAAGTGCAGGAATTTTAGACAGAATTAAACAATAGAAGAAGAAGAAGAAGAAAAGCAGAAGCAGCTCTTCAATGATATCCTGTTTAAACCTTGAAGACGACATGTTGCTGGTATTAATTCCATAATGATGTAAGAGTGGCACTCAAATGATTAATTATTTTGATAAAATTAACTAAATCAATAATTTTCTCCATTAAAACTGAAAGAGTCAGCAATTACAACAGCAGGATACACAACACGCCGACATCAGATGTTTGCAATTCTCTAAAACTAAGTCAAGTGTAGGTAGACCCAGCCCACGTATGGTGATGAGATGTATTTACTGCGCTCCCTTAATCACAGTGTGAAACTAAAACTAACCAGATCAAATATAAACAGTGCAACAAAAACATGAACCTTGGGTTGAAGCAAATTTAAGTTGTCTTATTCAAATTTAATCTTAGTAGAATTTCATTACTGTAACATTCCCAATCATCTTAAGCTACTCTTTATTAAAAGTAGTTAGTTATTTTAAATACCTTTATCTAAGTTATCCCACGAACTACATTTATTTATGTGTTACTTTTAAAATGAACATTTTCAAAGCATAAAATTCCTTTAAAAAAAAAAAAAATATTTTGAGCTTTTCAGTTCAACAAAATAATCCGTCAGCAGAGACTTGCCGCTCCCTCGAGGTGAGTGATCCATCACAGTATTTATATCCAGCAGGGGTTATTCCACAATTCAGTGAGGAACCTTTTTCAAAACTGATGACACATTTAAAGATGCTCAAACATCCAAAATCTCAGAGCTGTTGCTTCAATGAGCCATGTGGTCAAAAATAAAATCAAAAAATCAACTAGACGAGAACAACTACATAATAAGTTCACACGCATATTGTGAAAAGAATAAATTAATCTTCAGCAGGTTCTTTTTTTTATCGTTCCACAGAGGCTGCTGTTCAATAGACACTCAAAACTGTTGACTGTGAAAATAGCGACAGGATTCTGAGTCAAACAAATGTTTACTACAAAGCATCGAATATCTACTGAAGTAGTTTTTCTCACCAGTTAGAAATGAAATTTCTAAAAAGGTTGTTTGAAAGGTAAGAAAATTAATCTAAAGACCTGTGGTGCAATTTGTATAGTAGTTCAAATAAACCAAATCCATTGGGTAATTCCATCAGTATGACTTAAGGAAGTGTAATGTATTGCATAAGTTTGAGAACTTTACTTTAAGTCAGTCTGTGTATAATTAGCTTTGTTGCTGCTGGCTAATTACATACATTAAAAAAGTTTAACACGAGCATATTTCCAGTCATGTCAAAAGAATTGAAAACATGTATGTGTGCTGGTGCGTGGGAGATTGATGCATACATGACATTGTGCCCATTAATGAATAATAACGTGTCTTGTGGGTGTGCGAGGATATACTGTATGTGACATTCAACTCTGCAGCTAAACGCTTTCAGGCAAAGACAAAGTGCCTGCGCACAGGAAGTGACACACCCTTGGCTGGGCTGCCATTTCCTCCCCGGGTGTCGAGGTGATGAATGACAAGTCGTCTATCATTTGCATGCGTCTCTCTTTCACGGCCCCGCTGAGGAGGGAATTTGAATTGTACAGGACTGCCTAAATCAAGGTCATTCACGGCGAATCTGGTATTATGCTCCGCAATTCTGCGCTTGGACAAAAGACGACCTCGAGGTATTGAAGCGATAATGCGACACCTGCTGTGACCATGATGCTTTAACATTTTTCAAGCACACACATGGTTTGTGCTTTTGATTTCTATACTGGAACAAAACGAGCTCTCTGGACTCTTGCATGTCCGGTCAAATTCTCCTTTGAATTACTTTTAGGAAAGGAAAAGCTTTTGCAGTTGCATTATCGAGCTTCTTCGGGGCATATATTTGCCAGACCACATTCAATAGAAAATAATGAATTTAAGCTACAACTAAGGAGGGATTTGTTAAATTACCTCTAAAGGCCTTGATAGCACTTTCCCTAAATAACTTTAGGCTTTTATCCCACTGGTACCTGCAAGGATTTCCTTTTTGAAATACTCTCTTCCGTTCCACAGTAATAGATCCATACTTGTTGAGTCATTTCATTCCTTCCCGTGGGAAGACATAACATCAGTCAGGTTTAGAGCTAAAAGATGGTCATGAATCGAGGGGTAATGGAAATATGGAAAGATGGAAGGCGGGGAGTTTGAAAAGACACGTCTGGTAATGTCACTGAAGCTCGCTTTGTCATCCATTGAAACAGCATCAACGCCTCAAGCTGAAAGATAAACAGCAGCAGCAGCAGCAGCATGTGTCTTTTCCGGGTCAAGGTAGAGAAGACATCACTATGACGTTTTAAAACCCACTCACATAAAAACAACACAGAACACTACCAACGAGCTGAAGTGAATATCATCACAGTCTTTTATCACCTCTCTATTTCCCCTAATGCTGGTTTAATGTCAGGGGAAAGGGGGACTGTGTCTGGTGTGTTGATAGTATTTAAATAAATACTTTTCCCCCCATTTAATTTACATTTTAATTGAATTCATTATGTTAGTGTTTTGAGTGTAACATACATACATACAATCAGAGTGCCTCCTCCTACTAGAAGCCAGGTGCTCTTGGCGGATTGCTACTATCCCAACAGTTTTTCCAGGTGGTAGCCGGACAGCTTTGAGAAGAAGCTACTAGAGGAGGTCTGCAGTTACTGTATCTGTCATGTTTAGTAAATATATGGAAACAAGTTTGAGAAGATGAAGGTGTTGTAAAACTAAGAGTGGGGATGGTACGGTTGGTGCCTTTTGTCTTTAATCAGTTGCCTTAGCCGGCTACGAAATCAGTGATGTCAATCACTGGTCCACTGAGACCAATTTTCCACAGAATCATAATATATAATAAATGCATGTTGCCTTGTTTATTTTTGCAAATAGGCATGCAAATGTAGTTCTATATAGTCTGAGCTCTGGTGTTTCCTCTTGAGGTTTCCTCCAGTAACAGTGCATATGCAAATACGTAAACGTTCATGCCACAGCCAGTTAAAAAGCAAATATATCTCCAGCCTAAGTGGCACTGATCTGCTCATACAGTCACATTTTCCAGTTTAAAAAACACACAGTTTTTTTTTCCAGTTTTAACAGATCTGCAGAAAGTCACTCATTTTGATCTAAATTAAGGTTATGTGGCAGCTTGTGTGCACTCAGCTGTCATGCCACAAACCCTCTTGAATAATGGCACGACACAAAAAAATGAAAATAATTTGTAAAAACATCAAAAAAGAAAATACATAATGTATTTTCTTTCGTCCTTCTTATTACAAGCCCGTGTCGAGCAGATTCAGCCACAGATGTGTTACTATGCACATGGCCCTGCACAGAGTCTCCAGGCGGTAATAAAGCTGACTGATGCAAGATCAAAGTGGCGCAATGGTCATGAAGACAATCCTGGCTGCTCTGTTATGAAGATATATGAGGACATTCAAATGCTGTCCTTCACCAGCGAGCCCTCTGTTCCTGCGTCCTCACAGCGCTCCGTTACCATGGAAGACGAGGCTGCTTCTCCTCACCTTCAAGCTAATTCATATTCTTTTTGCTGCAAGTGCTACAGAACTCAAAACCCCATCAGCTGTTGGCTTAATTAAGCATGGGAATGTACACACACATGGGGATCCCACACACACACACACACACACACTCTCTCTGTGCGTGCACATGTTGATGTGAGTGCGATGGGAGGGTTCTCTGTGTCAATGGAGTTGTGGCTTTAGGATAATCACAATCAAAAAGAGAGTCATAAGCCATGCATGTCAGGTACTCGAGCTGTGTCTGGCTCCCTCTATTTCTTTTTAATGAAAGCTAACACAATTTGGAGTCGCTGTTTGATCGAGGGGACGAGTTGAGAGAAGGAAACAAATGGAGGTTTTGTTACTGCGGCAGCGGCTCTGCACTCGGCGTATCAATGAGTAGCTTGTCCAGACCGCGATGAGAGTTCGATTTGTAATTGCTGGAGTTGAGGCATGGCATCTAACAACTAATTAAAGTAAACTGAATTTAATGGCCAACATCTCTCAGTCTGCGCACTCTCTCAAATTAACACATGAACAGAGACAGGCTGACTTCAAAAGAAGTAAATCCCTGGTTTGATCTGTTTGTTGAAGTAGATCTTTTGAGTTTGGGATCTATTCAGTCATGATGGCAGCAGTGGCAACACCGGCAAAATTGTTGAAGAAAGAACACACACTTAGCCAGGATGCTTCTTTTCCCTTCCAATGTTTGTATTGGTCACTCGTGACGGATCGTGGTTATTCATCATTGTGTTTTGGGCAACGTGAGTAAAAGTCTAAAACATCATCTCGTCCGTGAAGATGATTTGACACCTGAGTCCTATCAGGTAGATTTTCCTCTATGATCCCATGTTGTTTCACT